AAGTCTGCAGCCACGTAGCCCACGCACTCACGCGCCACATTGCCCAGAGAGAAAGACGGACAGGCGGAGAGGGAGGGAGGGAGGAGTGCGAGGAGGACGGCGAGGCGTTCATCCACCGTGGGAGGAGCAACGAGGAGCTAGGAGGGGACAGGGCATGAGGGGCGAGGAGGGAAGAGGTGATGGGGCGGGAGGGAGAAAAGAGGCGATGAGCAGGCCGGGTGTTGTCCCCATACCCTCCTCTCCTCCTTTTTCCCCTGAATATTCCTCTCCTTGTGGATCCAGACCATGCCAGGATAACCCTCCACGCGATCTCCTTCCCTCTCCCCCCACCTCCAGGTCAAAGCGCCCCGGCCGTCGCAGGGAGGGATGCACCTCATGAGGTCTGTTGGTGGCGCCCACGACCAAGACGGAGGGAGGGAGGGAGTCCAAGCAGCTCCCGAGCTGGGCGGCGACGCGAGAGACCTAGATGGGAGGGTTGGAGGGAGGGAGGGAGGAGAGGGAGAAGGTCGGATACACTCGGGCTGAAAAATTCTGGTCACATCGGGGCATTGAACAACTCAAGTGGCTCGCCTTCTTTCTTTCTCCCTCCCTCCCTTCCTCCCTCCCTCCTTCTTGCCCTTTATCCCTCTCTTCCTTCCTCCTTCCCTCCCTCCTTCCCGCCTGCCCGCCCTCGCTCGCTCCCTCCCTCCCTCACCTCTGCTCCACTGTCGGAGGCGCTGGGAGGGCAGAGTGTCTCCACCTCGTCCAAAAAGATGAGGGACAAGGCAGCCGACTGGCGGAGGGGAGGGAGAGACAAGGAAGCATTTCAGACGGAAAACAAGGAGGGAAGAAGCTGATGGAGGGGAGAGGAGAGCGAGGAGGAAGGAGCTAGACATCGCAGGCGCCAACTCCTCCGAAACAGTCAGAAAGACATACCTCCCCCCGATCCCCACGAATACTGAGCGTGGCGTCTTCTGCTCGCCGAAAGAGGGCCCGCAAACGACCTTCCAAGCCATCCGCCCCTCCTCCTTCCTCCGCGTGATGTCAATATGGGCTCGCGC